GCTCTGTAATTATACTGAATGAAATCCAGCAGCAATGTTGACCACCCCAAGATGGTGTTGCTGTTGGCATGCCTGCAAAAACCCAACGCCGCATCTGTGTATGTAGATCTGTGCTCTGAGCTAGCTAATCTTAGCTAACTGTTTTTATAGGGTATAGTTTTATAGGTGTTTAGTTGTTTTATTCTGCTCTTAAGTGTTTTTTTACACACCTTAAGTTCAGCTTATAATCCATTCAGCCAATGAAAAGTCACGGTGCTGCAGAAGGGTCCGCCCACCCAGTCTACATGGTAACAACTGTCATTACAGCGTGTGTTTGGAACGTGAAGGCAGTCAAGAAACCCCAAAAACTGGCAATAAACATTTTGCTTTCTGATCTTCTTCGAATTTAAGTGCCATTTGTTTGGTGTAGGCTACTCAATGTAATCAATATTATTTGATGACTTGTGTGTTTACTGCTCAGTTTAAAATGTGTAATATAATAAAGCATGTTAGTTAACGCAACTTGAATGTAACGTAGCGTAATGACTGATACTTAGCTAGCTAGCCTGCTAATGTCAGCCATTCATTGCAATGGGTATCTAAATACGAATGTATCTAATGTAAAAGTAATTGGACATGTTTTTGAGTTTAGGTCACATAATGAAAGAGGAAGTTTAGTATTTCTGTTGCAATAGTGGTTGTTTTGACAAGCATTTGACGATTTGCTTTATAGCCTCTGCTTTGTTGAGAAGCTTGTTTGAATTTCTGTGTGATATATTGCTAGTTTAATGAATGTGTCGTAAACTTTTAGGAGTTTTTTCTATGGTGTTAGTTTAATTTATTTAGAAAATGTCTGTACCTCTTAGTTACAATTATTTATTTTATGTCAGATGTTGTTCCATTTTCTAGACTGTTCTAAATAAATATTCTTGCTTTCTATAGAAGTGATGTTTTTCATTATGACAATTAAACAAAAACACACATTTTATAATGCATTTTTGCTGCAAACAACAAAACAAAACAAAAAACACATTAAACTAGTGTTCCCCAAGTAAAACGGGCCATTTCCACTCCTGGGTATGATGGTATGATTTTCTGACAATGACCAGGCATGAACTAACACAGGTCAAAAAGGTCAATTTTGACTTTAAGGTCACCTTCATTTTGTAACAAAAATAAATCTATAATTACAATAACTATCACAATGTGCAACTTCTAATCACTTTACATAAGAGTCAGTTAACGCATGTTATTTATTCTGGCCATCTCGATCAATCTGAGGCTCTGATTAGCAAGATTAATCTACTATTAATACTATTAACCTCTTAAAATCCCAGGCTTATTACATACTAAGGCTCATCATTCAGTAAATAAAGGGACTTCGGTAAAAACTGGCTGAGTTTTTCTTAGATTATAGAAGTGTATCAAACTTTGAGCCTGCCATTGGGCCCTGGCCATTTAAGGGGTTAATAGTAGTCAACTATTAACTAGCTAGCTAGGTGCATTTTTGCCCTTAAGAGCCATCATAAATACACGTTGAATACAAATCTATTTATGTGGGTTAGGCCTGCTGTATGAAGACACATTTGATTATATCTTGGCCCACGCTTGGTTTTTGTCTGCTACTAGGCATGAGTGCAGGTTTGAGGTTTTGAACCTTCTGGGTTGGCTTTGGTTTGGTCCCAAATCAGAACAGGTGGCTGTTCCTTTCGTTGGCCTTTGAAAATGACTTAATTAAGAGAGTATCTCTCAAGAACATAAATTGAAGAAAACAGCAGCAAAGTCTCCTGAGCAGCTGCATGGTAAAAGCACTGAATACAAAACAGAAACATGTCTTACACGTGTCAAAGCTTCAAGGTCCAGCCCATATCTCATACCGTCTAACTGGTGTTCAAATGAAACCCATCCACTCACATTCAGTCACTGAATGTGGTGTAGGCAGGACTACTATAGTGGCAATAGTACATGGCCTTCTGTTCTTTGAAAGAGACTAGATAATATACTTTTATACATAGAGCACATCTTATTAAAGTATGCTTGCAGGATGACTGACAGTTTGACTGTCTAGGTTCAGAAACCATATGGTGAACCTTTTCAGCAAGCAATCTCATTTACTATAACAATAACTGTGATAACCGAAATCACACGTCACTAAAAATAAACACTTTCTCAGTGACTCACATACTCCCGGTGGAAGTTCAAACAGGAACACCTGTTCATTTCCTCCCAGCTGCATAAAATTACTCAATATCCTGTTAACCTGGATTATTTGATACCAGGGAGATCAGTGGGAAATCTCTGTATAAGAGGACTTTAACTGTATTGTTGTGGGCACATGATTACACAGAAACCTCACCAACTAATTATAATATAGTTTTTTGTATTTAGTCTTATTTTTCCACACCTTCAAAGTTCAGTCTTAGACATTAGTAGTATTTCCTGCTTTTCATGATCCAAGTAATCTCAAACACATTCAGTGATGATGAGGACTGGACTTTGAGCCGGTCAGGGATTTTTCTGAGAACACCAGCAGCTTCTTTGATTCGCAAATTTTCTTATATCCTTTTTTCAGTAATGACTTTTTAACAGCTACGCATCCTTTCAGACTCATAGTGTTGAGTTGTTTTCTCACAGCGGCAAGATGAATAGAAACATCTGTGGATTTTCAAGTCCCAATTTTGGAAGCTCCTCCTTTCCCTTAAGCAAGTACATTATCTCTAATATCCTTAGAAATATCTCCTGAAAAATGAGTAACTTGTAAATAATGGCTGTTTGGACTGGGAATTAAATAAATTAAGGGTGGCCGCTGTCCCGTGCAGCACTGTAGGGCTCTAAATGTATATAAATGGTTGCAATTTGTTACTTTCACTGAAACGTGGCTTCTTTTCATCTCTGCTGCAGGAGAAAGTAAGACTTTTTTTTCAGTAACTTGGCTTTTTAAGACTAGCTCAGTTAGCATGAATGCAATACTGCTAAAAGTGCTAAGAAGTCGCAACAGGAGGGGAAGCTTCCTTTCAAGCTCTTGTCAGCAGTGCTGAAATGACTACAATACACACTTTAAAAGAAAGGTGCCAAAAGGGGTTCTCTGGGCGACTCAACAGAAAAAACATTTTTGGTTCCATACAAAACCGTTCAATGGGTGGATCTTTAAAAGGAAGGATTTTCTAAATAAAATGTGAGAGTGAAGAACCTTTAGAGTATTTGAAGGTTTTTCAACTCACAAATTTCTTTTTTTCACACATGGAGCCAAACATGGTTCTTCTACACACAAGTTGTTAAACTGCCATTTGGTTGGTACCCTTTACATCAGTATAAGGTGGTATCCTCAATGATTCGTCTTCAGTACCTTTAGTTAGGTAACATACGTTTTAAGTTGTATTGACTCTGTACACCATCTGTCTTGACTTTTTACATTATTTTCACTTTTAAAACTTTAGGTTATGTATAGGTACAGATATGTACCTATCCCCTAAGAAAAACTTATTTAACGAACACAATTAGACCTTAAGATTAATGTTTTACCTTTGAGGGTACATTTACTTTGTATCTTAATGTAGAAAGATGTACTGTACCTTTTTTCTGACACTGTGGCATCACTGTAGCACCTTTTTTAAAGAGTGTACCGTCAGTTGTTATTAATCAGCATTTTTAAGAAAGCTCATAGCCAGTGGTGGCAAAATTCACAGTTCAAACTTGAAAATGAGACATCCTTTCAAGCACCTGTTCACTTTGGTGAGATACATTCACATAGCGTTTGCAAGTGGAATGATGCTTCCTCTACAAGCGTGCTGAGAACTGCACTGAGAGTGTAATGATGGATGATTTCCTTTGGCTATTATTATTAATAATGATGAAATGGCATTTAGCACTACAGTTTAAACCAGTACATGACAGAAACTGCTGAGCTTACTTGCATGTTAGATCTACTGTACACATCTGATTAATGCTAAGACTTATGGAAGACATCATACTAACCCATTATATCTCACGAATACTGGAGACACCAAAAGCTCCAGAGGTATGCAGCCCTTTCTGAAAAACACTCCATTTTAGAGGTGTGAAAATGTGCTGCTGCATCTTGATGCGTCACTCTGAAGGTGGTGATTCAACTGCAGCAATTTTGGAATGTAAGAATCTGTTATAATTGAATACAGTGATATTCAATAAAGTATGCACTAGTTCCTTCGGTCACATCTATATGGTCTGTGAATGTTTAATTACAGTTCTGTGTCATACAATCGCATGCAGAAGTTTGAACACCACTGGTCAACTTACGTGTTTTAACACTCTACAGGGAACAAACTTAAATTGTGCAAAATGCTGAGTTTTACATATTGAAAAAAAAAAACATAAAATAAATGTTTACATGTTTCATAACTTTTGCACATTACACATTTTTCTCCAATATGTTACATTCAGCAAATCTGCAGTAACAGTGCATTAAGATGTGCAGATGTTTGTTCTCTGTAGAGGATGTTTTAACTTATTTTCACTTAGAAGACCAAGAAAACGTACTAATTTGGCCAAAACTTTTGTGCGCGAATGTATAACCAAACAAGTCAAATTTGGTGAAATTTGAGATTTAATGCAATCATAAACTAAAGGAATCGAGGTCAGAGATTATAACCATTGCTTTTCCATCTTTTCTAGCCATCTGATGGGGCAGGAAGCTTAGTGCAGCCTCCCTGTGCTCTATGACCCACTGCTTGAGAAGCAAGTTTAGATGAATGTAGTGAATTAACCATCCCATCTGTACTCTACTCTACTGACAGTATTAATGTGTTTTACAGTTATTATAAAACGGTTTAGAATTTCAGGACAGTGTGTTTTCCTGTCAGACTTTAATCAAACTACCATAAGTCCCCATTTATTTGTGCAGTTTTTAATGTCGTGACACATGTTCCTTCAGGCCCGAGTGCTTGAGTCAGTAAATCATGAGTCAACAGTGACCTCCACTGGACACGCTGAGCATGAGCACTCAGATGTTACAGATGTTTCTTTGAGTAAATAAACAGGACTCTCTCTTATGGCCTTAACGATTTACATTTCTTAAACATCCGGGTAGTCATAACTTGATTAATGGTTAACTAATAGCACGGATGCCGCTCAGCAAAAGATAAGTACATTTGCTTAAGAGCCGCACCTCTTTTTCCGAGCTGCACCGCTGTAGCCTAACGTTTATCCGTCTGAGTAGAATTAACAAGGAAGTGCAAGTTCGTCTTTTGTTGACGCCTTCCTTCCTGTGACTTTCGTAACGCCTTCACACACCGAACAGGAGAACAGCGTGGACGGTAAGGGCTGATGTTTGAACTGAAAGAGGCCAGTAGGGACTTGTTTAATGTGACGATATACGCAGCAGAATTACAGCAGAATTGCCGGCCTTCTGGAAATCGTTTACATCCAGGAAACGACACAACAATTTGCTGTAAACATTAACTGGAATAACTGGCACGTCCACAAGTTGTACTACAGCTGGTAAGATGAAAGATGACCCTATTTTGTTTATGTAGTTTCATTTCATTACACAGTTAACCCAGTTATATGGCTCTCTGATCTTTGTTCAGGTTTGACATATTAAATGTTGGGAAAATGCAGCAGTCTTGAGAGCTTTTTGAGGTTTAAAGTTACTTGAAGTTGGACTTAGAACGCATTTCCTAGCTACCAAATCTATGTACTCTCTTAAAAAGGTCTAAAAGGTGCCACGAAGGTACGTGTGGTACGCCTGCCCCTCAGGGTAAGGGGTAGGAGAATGTCTTTCAGGGTATGTCAAAGTGAATTTAAAAGTTGATGAATCAGCCGGAGTTACACAGGTACTTCTCCAATTCGGACGACACAAACAGCTTCCAGCACACAGCGAACTCGAGCTGGGTATTTTCACTCTTTTATTGTAAAAGGCTGTATTTGGAGAGGAAAGTGTTTCACTCCGGACCTTTCTGAGCGCCGCACGTTCAGGAGAAACCAAACCAGAGAATTTGTAGCGAGGAGAAATAACAGCTGGTTAATGAGAAGCCTGGCCGCTTCCTCTTCTCCCGTTATATCAAAACCAGGACTGATAAACGCCAGAGGGCGCCCGCGAGCGAGTCCTCAATGAAATGGGGGTGAATCGAGCTAAAAAGGCTAGAACGAAAAGTTGAAATAGTTTCTGATCACTTGCCCAGAACTTTCATTTCCTTTTAGAAAGTAGAAGCATGTATTTCACTAAACCGTACCTGCATGTTTCCTTTTTGTTACAGAAAGCGCCCTCTAGCGTTTGAGAAACCCGGAAGACATTAGAGTGATAATTCCAGTTTTTTTTTTTCAATAAATGTACAAACAATCACGGCAGTGGAGTGTACACTTGTTTACTTAACACGAACCCAGAGCAGTCGGCAATTCAAAAAAAAAGAAAAGTAGGTTAGAGACAATTACATCTCTCTGGGGTCTTTCCAACAATATTTATATTAATCTTAGTAACTTTTTTGCATTTTTGTTTTTCATGCACTCTTAAGGTTCTGAAGAAGTACATTAGATCGTTGTGGAATATGTAGAAAGATGGTGTTGTTTTCATGTGCCTTATGTATGAAACATTTTATTAACAATAAAATAACATTTATGACCATTTCAGAATCTGTGTCTTGGAGAGGCATTCCATATATAATATCTGTCTTTGTAAACTCACTTAGACCCAAAATATTTAGACATAAAATACAGAAAGCACAAACATGTTCATCCAAATTAAACCTTTGTCTCAGATATTCTTTAGACGGATATTTTCCATTCATTATCTTGAAATGAACTTTAGAAATGACCTTGAAATTAACTTTACCTTGAAATGAGCTTTTGGAAGGTACGTAGTTCTGAGTTTACATATATAAACCTTTGGGGAACAAAGAAGGATTACATTTCTGAAACAAACATTTGGGTACAAATTCCAGAGAAGAGACAACTTGTAGAGAGGAAAATTACCACTCTGTAATGTTTTTCGGGTTTCTCAAAGGCTAGAGGGCGCTCTAATGAATGGACTCGCTCGGGATGGAGCATTTGAGCAAAATCATAGTTTATAAATGCTTAAACATTTTAAATGTAAAAGAATACAGTCATTTCCAGAACACTGAATAGCATAAAACATTTTAACACCGATGTTATATTCTTAAGCACCTTTGAACTCGAGTTATGAAAACAGCACCTCATGTACGTTCATGATGTCAGACCGTGAACAGCCGACGAGCTGCTCCGCTCACCACCCAATCAACACTCAGTAGCAGTAGTGCCAACGTCCTGCTGGCAAAAAAAACGTTTGCTGTAGAAAAAAGGAAACATATAAGGAAACGGTACACTGTTTGTCGAGTACTGAATGTGGATGAATCCCAAATGATTATATTTTTAGCAATATTATGCACTGTTGTGGTGCTGGAATAAGTATTTCAATTCCTATGTAGTGCGCTATGTAGGGAGCAGAGAGCCGTTGATTCAGCCCCACGTGGGTAGAGGGGCGCTGTTAGACTGGCAGAAGACAACTTGCGCTGGTAATTTGGTGACAACAGTGCTATGTTATGATATTTTCGCTGTTATATGATAAAAAGTTCTTGAAATGTCTGCAGTATACAGTGATTGGCCACCGAACGTTCTTTTCCTCATTCAGCAGCCCATGGTTGCATGGCAACGATGCCGTACTCTAAAGGAACTACATTTCTTGGCAAAATACTTGTATATGTCGTTTATTATTAATAATTACTTAAATAAGTTTCTAAAACATTGTGTATTTTAACATATCTTATGTTGGCCGCAGTTTTATAAAAGCGATAAGCCACTCGAGGCCCTGCGTTACTGTGATTTTATCACAGGGAAGGGGTCTGTAGGCACTCTGCTTGGCGGTAAAATTGCAGTAACACATGGCCTCGAGTGGCTTATTGCTTTAATAAACTTTCTCTCTTTGTCCCTCAACCTGCGTGTGTTTTAGCTTCGTTTTGATGCTGGTTGACCAGCATACCAGTAATTACTGCTGACTAGCATACCAGCATCCAAAACACAACATATGCTGGCTTTGCTGGTGACCAGCCATGCTGGTCTTTTCTGGTTTTCCTAGCAGGGCGTAGTGAGGTATTAGTTTGTAGCGCTGTTAAAGTCTGAGTGGATGATGTTGCTGTCATTTACATGATCTTTGGCCTGGGTTTGTGAGTGTAAAGAACTTTTTAAAGGACCTTCATTAAAAGGGGCACTACAAAGGATTCCAAGGATTGGTTCCCTAAAGAATGAGTTCAATAGATGGTTCTTAATGGCATAAAAAATAACATTTTTGTACATGACATATGTACTTTAAACTTTAAAAGGGGCTTCACACTCACACATCTCATTTACAAAAAATGTTCTCTAAATAACCATCCACTGAACCGTTTTTGGGGAAACAAAAGTGGTTCTTCTATAGCACCACTTTAGCACCAATTTTTAAGGGTGTATCATAATTTTCATTTTCAATATATGATGTACTGATATTCACTAGGTATTAAATACATGTACACTCTTAGAAAAAGATGTCACAAAGGGTTCTTTGAGCAATGGCATAGAAGAACCACTTTTGGCTCACTAAATAAATATGTTTGAAAAGAGATTTATGAGGGTGAATTTAAAGAACCTTCACACAATGAAGAGAGTCTTTACCAATTTAAGGGTTCTTCCTAGAGCTGTTACGTTATGTGGAGGTTCTTGAAAATTTAAAAGGGTTCTTCACACATACACCTCATTTACAAAAATGGTACTCTAAAGAACCATCCACTGAAAGGTTCCTTAGGGAACCAAAAGTTCTTCTATGGCATCATGTAAATAACACTTTCAATTTTAAGAGTGTACTTGTTTGTAAATAACTTGTTGTAAATAACTACCAACTGTTTTTATCATTTGCCTTTTGCAGAGAATATGAAGCAATCCCATTCTGTGAATGGAACCTTACGGTACGTTTTGATCTCTGCACTTGCCATTGGAGGGGTCATCCTCCTGTACCTTGCTTCTCTTCCGAGCACCCGTACCTTCTGCCCACCACACTATGCCCAGCCTTCTCAGTATTCAGAGCAGTACAACAAAACGTCTCCTCAGCCACCTCCCAAGCCTGTGCTTTTATTGTGGTTTTGGCCTGAGAACTATTGGTTTGACCTGAGCAACTGCAAGACCTTGACGGACATTGATGGCTGTTTCCTGACAGACGACAGGTCTTTGTACAGTACAGCAGACGCAGTGCTCATTTTTCACAAGGCGATCAAATGGGACCTGTCCAACCTTCCTCCTCCTCGTCCTTCCAAACAAAGATGGATTTGGTTCCATGTCGAATCACCGACAAACACACATAGAATCCCGGGCCTGGAGAACCTCTTCAATCTCACGCTGGGTTATAGGCAGGACGCTGACATCATTGTGCGTCACCACCTGACCGTCAGACAAAGTCCAGAGGAAGAGTTTGTGATGCCCAAAAAGGACAAGTTGGTTTGTTGGATTGTGAGCAACAACAACCCCTCCACTGGTACGGGAGTCAGGAGCAAATATTATATGGAGTTGAAAAAACACATCGATGTGCATGTGTTTGGAAAGGCCTTTGGACGTTTCTTGGCATATGAGGACTACTATCCCACCATAGCTAGCTGCAAATTCTACCTGTCTTTTGAGAACTCCATCCACAGGGACTACATCACTGAGAAGCTAAACGGACCACTTGTAGTAGGAACAGTTCCAATAGTCTTGGGGCCCCCGAGACAAAACTACGAAAACTTCGTTCCTAGTAGCTCATTCATTCATGTGAATGATTTTCCTAGTGCAAAGGACTTGGCACAATATCTGCTTCAGCTGGACAAAGATGAAAATCTTTATCGCAGCTATTTTCAGTGGAGGAAACATTTTGCTGCAAAACCTCACCTCATATTACAGAAACAAGAGTTTATAAAGCCCATTTGTACTGCTTGCGATTATATAGGAAAGCACAGTGAGTATAAGGTCAAAAAGGACATCTATAAATGGTACTTTTCAGAATAAAAAACCCATAAAAACACACTTCACATCAGCCCTGACTAGATATTATTTGTTGTTAGTTTGCTTTTAAAACGTACTCTAAAAAATGGGAACTTTTTGTTATTTATGTTACGTGCTACATATTCTTAATAAATGGATAAAGAGAATTCATCCATTATTTAGTTTCCTAATATGTTTATTGAACATATAACAAAAGCTTCTGACTGAGGCCTCTTTTCCACTGCAGGGCCGAACGGTTCTGAGCATGGAGGGTAATGGTTCTTTGTGGCTTTTCCACGCTGACACAGTTTGACATGGAACAATCTCAAACCAAATTCTAATTGTTAAACTGGGTTGATGACCAGGAGAGAGTACCTAGATAGCATTAGTTTAGCTAGAATGCTGCCAGCTCTGATCACCACAGAACAGGTTTGATTCTGACTAACAAGAGCTTTGCTGACACAAGGTTAGATGGTAACTTAAATTTGAGGAAACAAAGTCGAGTGGCTGGTGTTGGAGGGACAGAAAGCCGAAACTAAACGTGTTCCGAGGTGCTGTTTGTGTTCTTTGGAGCTGTGCTATCCTAGCTAAGCTAATGCTAGCCGTCTCTTCTCTCGTAGCTAACTTAGCTTAGCTAAAAAGATCCAAACACCCCAGTACAGTTTTGATTCAGCTAACCGGTGCTCTACTATCACAATTATAGACGATAAAAACTTCAGCAAGAGCAAAGTCGACTGATCTGTGTCGGAGTGACAGAAAGCTGAAATTGAGTGTACTTTGCCTCACACCGCAGTACACACTTGCTTCCAGCAAACCGATGCTTAAATAACAACCGTTCAGAGGATAAAGACTTATAAATGAGAGCACAAATTCGAATGACTGGTGTGGAAGTGACAGAAATAGGTGGTAACAAATAGGTGGTGTCTGAGCTGCCCTGCTGGGTAACGCTAATTCTAGAGTAGTTTGCCAGCCACAGGTGAAACTCACCACAAACCAGGCTCAGTTTCAGTGACTGATGTTCAAATAACACCTGTTTAGAAGGTAAAGAATCTGAGAGCATGCTGAGAGACTGATTTTGGAGTGACAGGTGGAGTCAAACGTATTTTGTGGTGGGTGGTGTTTGTAGCTATTAGCCTGTTAGCAGTTAGCCACTTGTTTGTGTAGTTTTCTTCAGTATGTCTTGCTTCTGATTTAGCAGCACAACAGATGGAAGAAGAAACCATAACCGGTCTTATGAGTCCAGACCAGCACAGATGGTACAGTATGGCCCTGAGAACCATTTGGCTCGACGGTGGAAAAGAGGCCTAAATGTCTCCATCAACAGTATACTAATATATCATCGCTGTCCAATGAAAACCATGTATCTCCATTTTTGTTTCTTTTTACTTTTCTACATCATTTCAACACACCAGCTGTCCTTTACCTTGTGGAATAATTTCATGATGAATGGACCAATAGAAATGCTCTAAAATCACTTGTAACAATGGTTTTGATATGGTTTTTACGATATGGTTTTTAGGTTTTTCTGCTGCTGGTAATTATCCTACAAAGTGTTATTGTTATATTTCTGTTTGTGTGATGTTATATTGTTATTTATACAACAGTTAGTCCCGACCTTATAATCTGAATGGTTGAGAAGTGTTCTAAAAAAAAGCCATGCTGTCATCACAAATATCAGGCTTTTTCACACCATATATCATTCCGCTGACGCGTTGCCAAGTAACGACAAGGTTTATGCACACAAACCTGTTTTGTATTTGTGTGTATACAAAACGAGAAACTAATCAGATTAATGACTAAGATAACACATGACCTGCAGTCTGTTTGGCCAGACTCTGAATAAGATTTTGACTGTAGACGCACATCAAATTCTGAATCTGTCATTACCATGAAAACTGTTAGGTCGACTGCAGTGACAGCAGAACAGCTGAACACGCTGGAATTGGCTAGAAATGAACAGAATACAATTCGATAAACAACTCGAGCTGCAAAGCTTTACAGACTGGCTGTAACAAAATGACATTGAGGTTAATTTGGCAACAATTGAAAAGGCTGAGCTGAACTTGATATTTTTACAGTTCTGTGGCTCTATTCTTACCCCAAAAGGAGAGCCTTACAGTATCAGCAGTTAACCTTGACTCTGCACAGGGCTCAGCAGGCTAGGCAGTTGATACCTTTGCATAGCAGCAACTCATTTGTTGTGGAACTACTTTTCGGTGGTATTGTCAGTATTCAGGCATATTCAGTATGAAATTCAGGACTGCTATGATTTATTTCATTTCTTTATTTTGTAAAAACTTGTATAAAAGCAGTAAAACACTCCAGCTTGTGGTATCATGAATAACATTAAGTTTTAAAAATTAAACAATGTTTTTGCAGCAAAGAAATTAAGTATTATTTTCACAAGTTGAAATTCAGAGGTTAGGGTTTGGGACAGTCATTAGAAAATACTCTATAAATGATGATTTTGTGTATATTTAGTTTATTACAATCTCAATTAATGCATTGGGTAAATCTTTAAGGTCTGAACAGTTTTTTTTGTTGTTGTTGTTTTTTGTTGTTCTTACTACCGCAGTTTGAACTAATTCCGTAGAATGGTCCATATACTCTATGAATATGTATAAATTGCACCAATCCTGCTGTACCAGAGCCAGTTTACGGGGACCCTGACCACGTCCTATTTCTCCCTTTATATCAGAACATGACTGCAAAATGCCATGGGACACGGGGGTAAATGGAGCTAAATGGCTAAAAATGAAATGTTAAAAATCTTCCTTTAATTTTGAAAAGCAGAAGGATGTATTTAACTAAAAAAATTAACTTACCTGTATCTTTCCTTTTCATACAGCAAGTAGGGAGTAGGATGCTAGCATTACTGATGCTGATTAGTTGGCATTACTGCCACTCAGTGCTGATTAGTTGGTATGACTACTACTGAGTGCTGATTGGTTGGCAAGCTGATCAATTTATTAGCTGAGTGAAGTAGTTTGTGCTCACTGATGTCATAAAGATACATAAGGAACCCTTAGAAACTCCTGTAACTGGAGTTCAAAAGTGCTCAAAAATGATTTTGCTCTAATGTTCTATATTAACCCAATCATTTTGGACTCGCTCAGGAGCGCCCTCTAGCACTTGACAAACCTGGAAGACATTACTGAGTAGCATTTCTTGGCTGTGCTTGAAATAGCCTACTACCAAACGCTTGCATACTGATTCTTCCTAAAAGTAGTAAGTAGTATTCAGTATGTGACCAAGTTATGCTCCATTTTCCCTCTTGTTCTTTTTTCTTTTTTTTCTGCATTGTCTTGCAATCCTTTCTTTGTCGTTCTATTGATACTTGTGTGTTTTCACTCCTTTCATGTTTTTTTAATGTATTTTCTATTGACAGATGTCTTGTTCTTTGCACTGTAATTTTTGTTGAATCCATTAAAGCAAAATAACAAGCTTCTGACCTCGCTAATTCACCCAAATAAAGAGCAATGCATTCAACTCTGTCTCCTCATTATTCACCACCATCACTGTAATGTTTTATCTAACAAGATTTCATCAACCTTAACACACGAAGGTAATAAGAGGGTACGGTGGAGGGTGTGTCTGCAGTGTCCAGTGCTTTTAAGGCGGTGTTAAAAAAAAAATTAAAAGTAAAAGCACCGTTTTCAATGTAGATAAATGTAACATCATTTTTCTAGTTATAGTGAACTATGCTGCCTGTCACTGCATAAAACTATAGAAACAGCCAGTTAAAACAGAAGTTAAAGGGGAATTCCACTGATTTTTCTAAATTTCTGTATAATCCAGTGGTTGAGATGTAAACAAAGTCATTCAGAGTTGTTGCATGTGAAATGATTCATTTGCAGAGGAGTTTACTGACTCAGATTTCTTTACAGTAGTGGCGATAAGAACCAGCAGTTCTGAAGTTTACAACTATTTTATTTACTATCCAAAACCACCAGTGAACTTACACATGTCTTCTGTGTTTTTTATGTAACGTTTATGACAGTACAATAATGGTCAATCTGAAAAAAATAAGTTTTCTTTGGGGACTATTTTGCCATGGTACATCCTTGATGTATGCTTCCACCTTGACTGGATTCAAATAATTTGATTACAAGATGTTTTATATCACAACTTTATCACCAAACTACTGTAAAACAGTGTCTCAGACATCAGGCAGTGTATTCATAAGCGTTTCATATAAAATATAAACATACACGCTGAAAAACGGCTAGCTACGATTGCTAAGCAGGCCTTGAGATGGTCTGATTGGCTCAGTCTCTGAAGTAGGCAATCCATTGGCGCCGCTGCTCTAGTACAGCACAGCTTTGTATACAGGATACTGTACAGTATGTTACTGATGAAGAGCTCTCCCCATGAATCTGTACTTTGGAGTACCAGGTTTATCACTTTAATAGAAAGTCTGTCTTTAAAGCCGACTGGTTCGAAAGAGGAATCGTCTTTGTTCAATTACTGGATATTAATGGGTGTTTCTTGCCTTTCAACTACTTATAAGCTTTATGAAAAGATCTGTAAATCAACTCCCTCAGCTTTCCTAAGTCTCATCCCAACTGTATCTTCTAAATTTCTTTATTTTAGTCCAGTTTTTCACTGCCTACTTTGAAAGTCTCTAATATAGACCTGTTTGGTTCAAACTATAGTAACAAGTGGATTAGTCATGAATTTAAACGTCTTCTTTTTGGTGATTTTTACTCTCCTACTTCCTGTGATGTTGAGGTGTCAATGCGAGACAACGCCTTTTATTTTTACCTGTTATTTCTGGTTGCTCCTAAAGTTAAAGAGAGACATTACAAAATTAGGTTTAACATCTCTCAGTGTGATTATACCAGTCAGTTTTGGAGAGATGTTCACAGTTGGTTGTCATTAAAAATTAATAACGTCTCTTTTTGAATGACATGATGTTTTTTTTTTTGTAAACAAAATGTGGAGCCACTCATATTCGATTTCATAAATTTCATTATTCTTTGGAGTAAATATCCTAGTCATATTTGTGAATGGAAAAATGTACATCCACTTTTTATTTGTTTATTTGTGACTTTACTCAGCTCCTTTAAAGTTTTACATTTAAAACTACATGTCCACAAAGAACTTTCTAATCTGACTATTTGATGCTCTTTTTTTCTCTCTTGCTCGTTTTCTTTCTTTTTTCTTTATCTATCTGTTTTTCTCCACCTTTCGTTGTAGTTGTAATGACACTTGTGTAGTTTCACTTTTTTTTCCTTTCACATTTTTCTTTTATGCATTTTCTATTGACTAATTTCCCCCTTTTACACTGTAATTTTTGTCAACTCAATAAAAGCAAAAAATACTGATGAAGAGTAGCATGCAGTGTTCAGTACATACTGGTGCAGTGTGCTGTGCACAGTACACATATGCTATTTTGAACACAGCCCTGCTCTGTATATTCTCTACTAGTATGCGGATTGACACAGCCAGCTTGCACACCTCACTCCAGGGCGGCAGGGGGCAGCTATCCCTGCTCCGAGCACGAGTCTGTCCGGTTGAAGACGAAGTGCAAAACAGGAGGTTAATCAGCATGCGGGTTACGTGATAATATTTGAGTAAACTAGAAATATTTGGTTCATTATTTAGTCAAACTAGACATGGATAAATCAACGATGTGCTTGATAGAACACTACATAAAGCTTATTTAAACGGCAGGTTGCATGTTTTAAAACGTTAACCTAAGACCAAACGTCTCTCGGCTGCCTTGTGTCAAATGTTTCTCATGTTCAGCTTCGTAGGTAAGCTTGCTCCGCTCTCACTCAGTCACTAGAAGAAGCTTTTACCTTTACTTTGCTTGTTACACGTTTTTGTGGGCCGTGAGTGAGTTGGTTGGTAAAAGGTTTCAAGTTGCTGTTGCTCAGTCACACAAACCCAGTTATCTCCTTTGACCGCTGCGTCCAGTCCTGTTAGTCGTGGTCATCCAGTCCTGCAGCTTTTAAGCTCCGGCGCTTTACTCGTCATGCCCGTCCAGTGCAGCAGCTGTGCGCTGAACCGCGCCGTGCTCAAACGGCCCAAGACCGGTCACTCCTTGTGCAAAGCCTGCTTCTTCTGGGCGTTTGAGGAGGAGATTCATCACACTATCGTGTCCGGCCGCCTGTTCAGTCGCGGAGAGACAGTCGGCATCGGTGCATCAGGTGGGAAGGACTCCACCGTGCTGGCTCATGTTATGAAGGTGCTGAATGAGCGCTACGACTACGGCCTGAAGCTGCTGCTCCTCTCCGTGGACGAGGGCATCACAGGCTACCGCGACGACTCACTGGAAACGGTAAAAAGGAACCAGCAGCAGTACGACCTGCCTCTCAAGATCGTGTCCTACGAAGAGCTGTATGGCTGGACTATGGACGCCATCGTAAAGCAAGTGGGGCTAAAGAACAACTGCACTTTTTGCGGTGTGTTCCGAAGACAGGCACTAGACAGAGGTGCCATGATGCTGAATGTGGACAAGATATGTACAGGTACCTCTGCAGTCCTCTCTTTTCACTGTCTTCTATAACTTTAAAGGCTTGCCAAACTTTCATAAAACAATGTTTCATGAATCAGGCGGTGTTTTTATACCCATTTTATTTATTAGCTTTCTGGGAAATAGCTTTTAAAGGCATTGAACTCTTGAGATGTCTGGTTCCAGTCACCACCACTGTGAACAGTTCTTAACATCTTAACAATACAGAAATGTGGAAAAATCAGCATAATTGTTTTTATTGTCAGGTTTTGTAGAAGTGTTTAAGCTGAGAAATCGCCAAACTGTATTGGACACCAGCCTTTTAGGACCAGAATTGAGGAACCCTGTTCTATGGTCATTAAGACCATGCAGTGTTAAAACTATTTCAGCTTTGAGTACTCAAATCAGCTATCCTTTTATTTCTAGGTCACAATGCAGATGATGTGGCAGAGACAGTGCTGATGAACGTCCTTCGCGGCGACATTGCCCGTCTGCGCCGCTGCACAGCCATCAGTACAGCCAGTGACGGTGAAGGGGCGATACCGCGCTGTAAACCTTTGAAGTATGCCTATGAGAAAGAGATTGTCCTCTATGCATACTTCAAAAAACTTGACTACTTCTCCACTGAGTGCATCTATTCACCCAACGCCTACCGCGGTCACGCGCGCACCTTCCTGAAAGACCTAGAAGCGGTCAGGCCTAGTGCTATTATGGACGTCATCCACTCTGGGGAGAACCTCTCAGTGAAGGAAGGCGTGAAGATGCCAGTCCAGGGGACATGCACGCGATGTGGGTACATCTCCAGCCAGGCCCTATGCAAGTCCTGCGTGCTCCTGGAGGGTCTGAACCGAGGTCTGCCCAAGCTTGGAATAGGCAAGCACCACCGGCTCCATGGCAAGATCCTGGCCCAGCAGCCTCTAACCCAAGAGGAGGAGAAGAAGCTGAAGGCAGTAGACTTTTAATGGGACACTAGGCTTTAATGACTTTCTGGGATGGGTAGGGGATGGGGCCAAACTTATATTTATTATTTTTTTTGTAGGGAGACTTTTTGGCTTTTGCTTTCTTGCAACTTTTGTGATAAAAGCATATCCTAGAACTCGTACAATAAAGAAAACTTCCTCAACTGTTTTGTTTTTGCTTGTGTGTTTATGCAAGTGACACAGATATTACGAACCATCTGGGTGTGAGATGTTCTTGTCCACCCCGTCCACAGCCATGTAGATATTACAGATGTAATAAACACTGCGCACCTTGGTTGGATGTCCTTTAGAATACTCGTAATAAATAGCTGCAGATAATATGTAAGCAAGAGAAGCTGGCAAATACAGAAATATCACAGCTCACTCAAGTCATGCAGCTATACACTTGGGTTTAGAGTAGGAGTGGGAAATGTGACAATGTTTTTCTGAGCATATTGTGAATAGCGGCAGTTCTTAATGAGCACTGACCAACTGCATTTTTCATTACACAAAGCGCATTATTAGTCCTGTTTTAACTGGGTTTAGTGCATGCAATAGTGCATACAAGTGATTGCACTCGTTTTTGAGTGGTTCTTTTTTTTTTGTCCGTACTAATATATAAAACTAGAAAAACTAAATATTGATGTGTTGTGTATCATGATGTATTTTTGCCATATTGCCCAGTCCTAGTTTCGAAATGTAAAACACAGACTTGTGTACAGTTTGAATTCAGTTGCTGACTAGATTTTTTTTTTCTGTAGTTTTATATTTTAAAGGATAAAAATATTTGACTAAGATGATGATTTTCCCTCTGTTTAGGCCAAAGTTAGTAAAGAGAAATTCCTCCGATTTTTCTGTAGTTCTGCTATATTCAATTGTTGAGATGAGAAACAAACCCATTCAGAGTAGTTTGAGGTGGTTCATTGTAAAGAGACTTACTGACTCAGACTTCTTTACAGTGGTAGTGATGGGAACCAGGGGTTGTGATGTCTGTGATGGAAATATAGCCATTTTATTTCCTATCCAAAATGACCAGTGAATCTACACTTTTTATATGTAATGCGGACGAT